GATTTTGACTTCAAAGAACTACGTTAATTTCCCCGAATTGTCTTTTATTTTATGTAGATTAGCTCATGATAATGTACAGATTGTGAAGCTTGGATTGGTTTTATTTGACTTTGATTTCACACTGATATCGTCTCTCTTGTGCAATCTCACTTCAAACAACTGTATTGATTTTTTCGAATTGAATATCTGTGAATGTTCATTCACTCATTTGTCTTTTCTATTGTGCGATTTGGCTTCAGACAACTGCATTAATTTTTTTTCGAATTGAATATCTGTGAATGGTCATTCACTCATTTGTCTTTTCTATTGTGTGATTTGGCTTCAGACAACTGCATTAATTTTTCTGAACCTAATGTCTGTTATTGTCCATTGACATCATGTCTTATAGTTTGTGTATCTGATGATGTATGCATATCTGTAGTGCTCTAAATTGCTGGCTTTCTGTTTTTGGTAGCTTGCAGCAGCAACTTTACATTTCTACATTCTTTTAGCATTCTCAATTTTATGAATTTTGTTCCTTTTGTTCCATGATTCAGTACAAAGATAAGAGTGCTTATATACTTACATTTAATTCGACACAATGACAAAGAGGGATGAAGAGATCTATAAACTGCAATTTTATTAATGTACATTGTCTATCCTTGTTGACTTAAGTGCGTTTCTTTTTCTTATTTTCATTTTCTTGTTGGCTTTCCTCTCGATACAGACAGCTGTTCACGAGACCACCAAGGCTTTGGAGCATGGCCATGCTAGTGGTAAAAAACAGGCTGAAGGGCTTTGGAAGGACGAAGGCTTAGCTCTAAAGCCATGTTGGGATAAGCCAGTTTTGGGTGAGTAAAATGAAGTTCTTGAGAAATCAGTCCTATCGTATCTGAAATATTTTAACGGTTATATTTTTTGGATTTTTCTTGTATGTTTGTCTTATTTTGTGTTTTGATGACAGAGGAGTCAGATGAACCACAAGGGTATGTCACCTTCTCGTTAACTAATGGCCCTGAGTATCACGTCTCACAGGTATTTTGAGTTGCCATCCTGCTTTTTATTTATACACAGTTTTAAAATATATATTAGTAGACTTTCTTGATGAACTTATTCATCAAAAGACTTCATTACCAAACGTAGTAACAGCTTTAACCGTGTGAGTTTGTATGTAATATTGATTCTTGACAACTCCATCTTTGGCCCTTGCAGGAATTTATATTACTATTTATCAATTTTTTCTTCCAATGGAGGGGGATTAAGCTCGGGAAATATATTATTCAGACTGCTTGAATTTTTTTCATCTCTTGCATTTCACCATTAATTGTTTTGTTCAGATTTCTGATGCAGTGGTGGTGGCAAGATATCTACGTGCGATTCTTGTACTCCCAGACATTAGAGGAAGCAAACCTGGTGACAAGAGGTACTTTTTTGGTGGTCTATTTTTCGGTGATGCGGCTATGTCTTTAGTTATAGTACATGGCAAATGTGATGGATTTTTTGATGATGTAATACACATACTCTTCGGGAAAAAAGAAGAGGAAAATGTAATTTAGTCTCATCGCCTTCATTCACGTATTAATCCAATGTATTACATCCACGAATGATTCTCTATATCTATCTTTGAAAAGAGTTTGTTAAATAGAAATTAACAAATTTCCTATGTGAAAAGTGAAATGCATATGCTCCTCCCTTTGGATAATCATGTAACTGTGAGCATTTAGTCAATTTTTTTCACTCTCCAGAAGACTAAATCCACTGAGAGAAATGAGAACCTATTGTAACATAGGTGTGCTATAAGTTTTATGTGTTTGCCATATCAACCTATTGTATCATCTTCCTTTGCATTAGTGATCCTGGGGGATAATCACTACCCTGATGTAGTATTTTTGTAACTTTCAGGAACTTTGAAGATGTTTATGATTTTGAAAAGTTCATATCAAGCCTTGACGGTGTAGTGAAAGTTGTTAAATCTCAGCCTGCTAAATTATCAGCACGTAATCTTGCAGTTGTAAAGGTCCCCAATCGGGTTAGTGATGAGTACATTGCAGAAAATATTGAACCCGTCTTCAGAAGCAAGGGAAACATAAGGCTTGCAACTTACTTCCCTTCAGTAAACATGAAAAAGAAAAAAGAAAAAAGTAAGTCCGACTCTATTGGATGTTTGGCAATGTTTGGAACCCTTGAGCCACAGACAGAAGTTCGTGAAGTTGTTGACTCATTGGTGAATCGCCTGAGGACCTTAAGTCGGAAGTCAAATGGACAGTTCGTAGCAGTTGACCTTAGGCTCGATATCTTAGAGAAAAAGGGTTGCCATAAAAATAGTGGATCAAAAAGCTGTTATGGTCCTCATGACATCGCGCAATTTTTGAGGAAGATTGGGTATGACAAGGACACAACAGTATACGTGACTGAATCAAGATGGGACAGCAGCCTCGACAATCTAAAGGAGTTCTTCCCAAAAACTTATACAAAGGTGAAATCTTGTTCTGATATTTCTCCTTGAAATATATCTCTAACGAGCTTTTTAAACACCAGGAAGCATTATTGGGAGCATCTCAAATGGATTCCATGTATTGCTATCTAGATGGTACAAAAGTTGAAAGACTTCTGGTCTAAGTGGCACTAATGTCTAATAAATAGACAGTCAAGTTCAGAATTAGTCTTTTGGTGCATTCTATGGATTGCTATCTACGTGTTTTCTATTTTCTTAAGATAAAAACAAAATGTCTGAAGGATAGGAAATATAAATCTGGAAAGAAAATATGGAGTTTGCCAAGTGACTCCATCAGTCAGAGCTTTTTAATCGATAGAGCTCTAGACATTTTCTATTTTTTCTCTGTCATGTTAGCTTGACAGAGTCCCTATCAGTTTGCACTGGAGAGAATTTTTTTTAAACAGTCATTTTTGCTTAGGTGGCACAATTTTTTAAGTAATCCACAATTCCATTGGAGATGCTCTAGTATTTAGTTTTCCTTTTTACATTGCAGGAAAGTATAATGCCGATGGATAAAAAGGATAAATTCCTTGGGTCAGAAACTTCTGAATATGAGAAGGTTATCGACTTCTACATTTGTTCTGAAAGCGATGTTTTTGTACCAGCCATTTCCGGCCTGTTTTATGCCAATGTTGCTGGGAAGAGAATTGCTTCTGGTAAGACACAGATACTCGTTCCAGCAAGCATTCCTGGTTCTACCGCATCTTCTGGAGATTTCACATCTCATTATGTCTCAAAAAAGAATCATTTTGCCTATTCGTGTTTCTGCTAGTTCTGGTGGAACTGTGTTGGCATACACTCCACAGATGCACAGCACTTTCAAAAACGGTCATTTCTCCTGGATCAAATTGTTCAGGGTTAATTTACAAGTAGTGAAACAGAATGGTTTTGGAATTGTATTGCATTTTATTTAAGAACAAGAAGAGACTTCTCTTAAGGATTCCGCCTAAGGGGTTTTGTCGTACAATTGTAGACTTTTAAGGTGTGATAGTCAAATGTTTGTGGAATGCATTGTAAAATCATTGTACTCTCTATTCCTTGTAACAAATTTTACATCCAAGTTTTGTAGTTTTGTCATCCACAGCTGTCAATTGCTCCGCTTTGAATAATTTGCTTGAAGGGGGAAAAAAAAAACAAGGAAACTGAAAATCAGAAAACACACATTTTTGTGAAATAAAAAATGACATGTTTAATCACACATTTTATGACATCTACAATTTTTTATCAACTTTTCAACAGCATTTCATCAATTTTTATTCCTACTAAAAATCTGATTTTTAGCTAACCAAATAGGGGCATAATTTTGTCTCTCTCTTATTCTTCTCCATTCTTTGTCATGCTCCACGTCAATGAAAAAGGGATGGGCCGAATGCATAAAGGGTTTTTGCCCCACGATCGAATAGTGTTTGGGTGGATTCTCAAGCTTGATCCTTGGTGATATTTGTTTGGATCTATATTATTAGCTAAAACTTTTAAGAAAAGTGATTACATCTTTCTACACGAGCTCGTATCAGAACTGGAGATCTCATGTTTGATTCTTCAAGGCGGTGAAAATGATGTAGAACATCACTGAACATGGGATGTGTCTATTGCGTGAGAGAGGTTTATCCCCAAAATAAATAGTAGTTGGAGTAGATTCTCAGACCTAATCCTAAGTAGTATAAAGCTTAATTGCGTCTCTTGTATCAGCTATAGCTTTTGAGAAAAGTGATTATATCTCCTCACATTACTTTTCATTTTTACTACAAGGGAAAAAAAAAATTGAAGGAAAATCAAATGGATGCTTGACTGACAGTAAAATTGTTTCTATTTCTCCATGCTGATCTTGAATCACCCTTTTTCATGTTTAATCATTGCTATGGAAAATAGAGATGAGAGAAGACAGCATCTCTTGATGCATTTTGCCACGTATTACTGGATAATATCAATAATATTATCTAGTAATCGACCTTACTAAACAAGCTTAAAGTAATTTACACGTGACTATGCAAGGCAGGTGGGTTGGAGGAAACTTGTTACCAATTGTCATTTGATGCAGAGAATGACTTAGAAGCTTCTTCTGCAACTCATCATAATAGGTGTTCCTGCATTATCATCCCTTCTTTTTCAAGCACAATAATACAGTTTGTCAATGCCTGCTCTCAATACTGTTAAAATTTGGCCTTTTTCTCTTACGGGAGGGGGAAAACGGACTACATTTTAATCTGATATCCATTATTTACCACTCTTTTTATTGAATGAAAATACAATAAAGTATGTCCAAAAACAAAAACAAAAAAGTGAAAGCATCCCAGTTCAAGGCAATAAACATCAGTAATACAATACTTAATTTTTTCCTGTACATGAATAATCACCTATTTTTGCTTCTAATCCCACTTTGATAAGTTGATATTATATTCAGGCATAGATTCAAAGAGCCAAATGGGTAGTGACATTTACTTTTCCATAGAAGAATTTGATCTTCAAGAAATTGGACGGGTTTCTTTGTATATGGGAACATTGAATAATATGTATTAACTAGAATTACGACGAGCTGCGACACATCTCTGGTACGGCTTAATGAACACCTTGGCTAGAGGTGTCTGTGGAACTGGAATCAGTTTTCCAACAACAGCAAGGGGCCAGCTGCACGAAACAAGGGAATATTACCACATATTCTTAGATAATTGTCATCAAATCGAGTAAAACACGAGATTGAAGATTTATAAAGTTCATGGTTCATGCATATGAGACCTAAACTTCTATGGATGTTGTCAGCATATTAGAGTATTACTATTCGTAAAAATATTTAATAAGTTTGGTTTTACCTGGAAAACTACAAGAAGTTCAGTTACTAATCATTGCATCTAGGGGTTGACACAATGTCCAGATCAAATCAAACCAAACCATAATCTAATCAAATTGAGCGATTTAGTTCGGTTCTACAAAAGAAATTAATAGTTTTGGTTCTTTGAACCAAGACCATTTGGTTATGGTTCTAGTCTGGTTCTAGTTTTAGAACCGATAACCAGAACTTAAACCAAATTTGATTTTTAATTTTAGTTTTCTATATATATTAATTAGTAGAGACCCCAATTTTGTATTCATTGGAAACAACTCATTAATCGATTTTGGGTCATTGGAGACAACCCATTAATTTTGTATTCATTTGAATAATTTCTCTTTTACTCCTTTTCAATTTACAGAAAATTGAGGCACTCCTGTACCGTATTTCATCACATCAGTGGAGGAGACTTTCAAGATCGAAAAATGGAATCATCCAGTCACTTAAAAAACCTTTAAACTATTTGTTCACTTTGACTGTTTGAAGAATTATTTGTATTCTTCACAAATAGAGAGAAAAATCCAATAAACATTGACGGAGTATTATACAGTTAATGGCTGCCGGTAAAAGTGGACTATAAAAGTTTTGCATCATTTATCCTTTATCGTGGGAGTGTGACGTCAAAACTGTTGCAATTAGCTTAGTGAATCATTGTTATTACTTATTAGGCAATCTTTTGTATGGGAAAGAAAATTTATTTGTGCATTCAAATTATGATTATATTTTGTTTGTTAATTTGGACTTTTGTAATCTTGAAGATTGATAATTTGAACTTGTTATTTGATATTTTTTTTAAGTATATATTACTAACTTACAGATATAGTGCAAGTTTAAAGATTTAAGAAATAAAATTAGAACCAAACCAAAATAGAAACGAATGGTTAAGTTCCGGTTTGGTTCCATATCTTAAAAAAACCATTTGGTTCTATTATTAAAAAAAAATCATTGGTTTATGATTCGGTTTGGTTCGATTCTCTTGGAACTAGAACCAAATGGAACAATGTCCACCCCTAACTGCATCTTGTGAAAGAACCAGCAGGGGGCTCAGCACATGAAGTTATAATGATTGGAACACTTTACACAGCCATTATTTCTTTTAGAAAAGCTTCCTAGTTATAGAATCGGCCCCGTTCTATCCTACCATGTTTCATTCACACAATCCTTCCAATATTCTTAACTGAATAAAGATTTTCAAACAATAATTACTAATGTTAAAGAAAAATATCCGAACCTGAAAATGCCAATGGCTAGGCAAACTAGCCATAGATTCAAACTCAGCTTAACAGTTGTGGCGAACTTTCCAAGGAACTCGATGATGATTATCTATTACAGATCAGGAGCTTGTTAATGATGAACTATTAGTATAAAAATCCAAAACCGAGAATTTATAAATGTATGGCATCTCACCTGAAGTATAAATGTAGTTCCCACTATGCCTATGAAGAAGTGGTTTTTGGTCACCCCTTCAAAGACATTCATCTCCTCTGGTTTCCGAGCATTGAACTCATTGAATATCTGTAAATTGCCAAGTGGAAAGAATGAACTTGGTGGTAAATCTGGCCTCCCACGGAATTATGGGGTACTATTTTCTCTTGTAATATAAGAAAACATATTATGTTTTGTTAAGCTTAGAAGTTTGCTTGCAACGAATAAGTTGTAAAATAAATAGATATTGGTCAATTTGGAAAAAAAAACTTACTTATTTTGACAGTAGGAAAAAAAGTAAGTTATCTAAACATGTTGAAGACGCGAAGTTAATAAAAACTAACTTTGTTTAAGCTTAATCAAACATAAATTAGAATGTACTTACTTGACAAAGAACAAATCCATTAAATATCACGGTATTCTTCACCATGTTAGCATGTTCTTGCGGCTCATTCTTCAAGTTGAGAACGATCTTGCCAGAGAAGTTAAAAATAAGGAGGACTGTAACTTGATATATAGCCTGCAGGATAGAAGATCATATAGTAATATTAAACAAATTTCTTTAAATAACAAAAATAAACAGCCAAATTCAACAAATAATAATCTAACAGACCTGTATAAGCAAGTTCCTCCACATGATATTTG